GAAAGACAGAAGAAAAATCTACACCACAATTAAGATATTAAATAGCAAATTAATTAATGCAGAATCATAATAGATATTACGTGGGGTGAATAGGATATTGTTATCTAAATTACTGCTACTATAACTCTTCCTGATGTTATCATTTTTTCCCCCAGTCCTAATGCATTAGAAATAGCACACAGAAGATCCTTATACCCCTCAACCCCCCCCCCCCACCCCACCACTTTGGTGAAGGAGCTAGGGGAAGAGAAGAGGAAGATATAGTTTAGAAAATGTGATCTACACTATAGGACCCTTCCTCATTAAAAACAAGGTGCCGGTACTCACTAAAAAGTGTCTAAAAAGGTGCTGATACTCTATTACAGTTAGGCTAAAAAAAAATGCCTCACGGAGACAAATATTTATTCCAATCCTGCAGACACTTATTTACTTTAGAAACTGAAGGTGACATACTTACATTGTTACTGTTTACTGTATTACTGTCGGGTCTTAGTCACATATGACTGGGCTATCGTATAAAGGCACTAGGAAAGAATACTAACTTTATTCCAAGAATAAAAAAATGCAACCTGAAAACGTAATATGACAGAGCAGGCCAGGTCCATAGCCTTGACTGGCAGGTGGTCTAGGTTGTAAGCACTGATAGGCAGCAGGTCCATAGCCTTGACTGGCAGGTGGTCTAGGTTGTAAGCACTGATAGGCAGCAGGTCCATAGCCTTGACTGGCAGGTGGTCTAGGTTGGAAGCACTGATAGGCAGCAGGTCCATAGCCTTGACTGGCAGGTGGTCTGGGTTGGAAGCACTGATAGGCAGCAGGTCCATAGCCTTGAATGGCAGGTGGTCTGGGTTGGAAGCACTGATAGGCAGCAGGTCCATAGCCTTGACTGGCAGGTGGTCTAGGTTGGAAGCACTGATAGGCAGCAGGTCCATAGCCTTGACTGGCAGGTGGTCTAGGTTGGAAGCACTGATAGGCAGCAGGTCCATAGCCTTGACTGGCAGGTGGTCTGGGTTGGAAGCACTGATAGGCAGTAGACAAATACACACTGCTGTTTTGATCTGGCATCTTCTCCAGCATGCTTTCTTCCAAACATATTGATGTTATCTTCCCTTTGCAATAAACAAAACAGTCAAGAGCAGGATCATGCTGCAGGAGCAATACATAGTCTGTAGAGTATTGCCCAGGCTTTGTGCTGTTGAGAGAAGCAATTATCAGCTGTCATCTGGAAATAGGAGAGTGGTAACTCTATCGTCTGGAAATATAAGAGCTGTAACACTATCCTCTAGAAATAGGAAAGGTGTAGCACTATCATCTGAAAATAGGAATGGTGTAACACTATTATCTGGAAATAGGAGAGTTGTAACACTATTATCTGGAAATAGGAGAGATGTAACACTATCATCTGGAAACAGGAGAGCTGTAACACTATCATCTAGAAATAGGAATGGTGTAACACTATCATCTGGAAATATAAGAGCTGTAACACTGTCCTCTAGAAATAGGAGAGCTGTAACACTGTCATCTAGAAATAGGAGAACTGCTACACTATTATCTAGAAATAGGAGAGCTGTAACACTATTATCTAGAAATAGGAGAGCTGTAACACTGTCATCTAGAAAAAGGAGGGCTGTAATACTATCATCTAGAAATAGGAGAGCTGTAACACTGTCATCTAGAAAAAGGAGGGCTGTAATACTATCATCTAGAAATAGGAGGGCTGTAACACTATCATCTAGAAATAGGAGGGCTGTAATACTATCATCTAGAAATAGGAGAGCTGTAACACTGTCATCTAGAAATAGGAGAGCTGTAACACTGTCATCTAGAAATAGGAGAACTGCTACACTATTATCTAGAAATAGGAGAGCTGTAACACTATTATCTAGAAATAGGAGAGCTGTAACACTGTCATCTAGAAAAAGGAGGGCTGTAATACTATCATCTAGAAATAGGAGAGCTGTAACACTGTCATCTAGAAAAAGGAGGGCTGTAATACTATCATCTAGAAATAGGAGGGCTGTAACACTATCATCTAGAAATAGGAGGGCTGTAACACTATCATCTAGAAATAGGAGGGCTGTAACACTGTCATCTAGAAATAGGAGGGCTGTAACACTATCATCTAGAAATAGGAGAGGTGTCACAACCAGCCAACTGTTTACTTATTTACTAAAAGTAATTTGCTGTTTCACACTTTAAACCAGGAATTGCACACATAAATGAAACAGTTGTAATAATGCAAATAATTGGAAAAGGCATAGTATACGTCAAAGTTATTCTCCCTCTATTTCTCCTCCTCCCTGCTGTCCCACTGCTTCTCCAACTCTCTGCTGTCACACTGCTTCTCCTCCTCTCTGCTGTCACACTGCTTCTCCTTCTCTCTGCTGTCACACTGCTTCTCCTTCTCTCTGCTACACTGCTTCTCCTTCTCTCTGCTGTCACACTGCTTCTCCTTCTCTCTGCTGTCACACTGCTTCTCCTTCTCTCTGCTGTCACACTGATACTCCTTCTCTCTGCTGTCACACTGCTTCTCCTTCTCTCTGCTACACTGCTTCTTTTTCTCTCTGCTGTCACACTGCTTCTCCTTCTCTCTGCTGTCACACTGCTTCTCCTTCTCTCTGCTGTCACACTGCTTCTCCTTCTCTCTGCTGTCACACTGCTTCTCCTTCTCTCTGCTGTCACACTGCTTCTCCTTCTCTCTGCTGTCACACTGCTTCTCCTTCTCTCTGCTGTCACACTGCTTCTCCTTCTCTCTGCTGTCACACTGCTTCTCCTTCTCTCTGCTGTCACACTGCTTCTCCTTCTCTCTGCTGTCACACTGCTTCTCCTTCTCTCTGCTGTCACACTGCTTCTCCTCCTCTCTGCTGTCACACTGTTTCTCCTTCTCTCTGCTGTCACACTGCTTCTCATTCTCTCTGCTACACTGCTTCTCCTCCTCTCTGCTGTCACACTGCGTCTCCTCCTCTCTGCTGTCACACTGCTTCTCCTTCTCATTCTGTCCCAGTGGACCATAAGCTTTCAGCCTGCTAACTTTGAGCCCTTGTCTATAGTCTTGTTCATGGCTGATGGTATTGTGCAGCTATAGTTTTCTAACCAGAAAAGAAAAATTAATAATCATGGAAATAAGATGTCCTAGAAGTGATGCAGGAGTGACCAGAAGAGATCAAATCAGGGATGAGGTCAAAAGAGAAAAGGTCGGCACAGAACCAATTCTGAATTACAAATATACCAGATCAAAAGCTTTGGCCACTTAGAGAAAATGTCTTGAGATATCATACCCTACAATGCATTCACCAATAGAGAAAAGTGGTGTAGAGCACAAGGTAGATGAAGAACAAGATGGAAATATAACATCAGAGAAACTCTTCAAGAGCATGAAATGTCTATGTTTGCCACGGCTAGATGGGCAAAAAGCAGACACTTATATCTCCCTTGACGCCTGAAGCAGTAAAAGAGGAAGTGAAGAAGAAGTGTTTTCGATGGGATGAAATAAGTAAAGGACCCTTTTCCGTACCTTCAGGCCTTATTTAGCGCTAGACCTATATTTTATAGACCAACTGGCACTCGGTAGGTGATGTAGTCAACATCACACTGTGCTGCCTTTACTTCCCAAGATTTTACCAGGTACCCATATAAGGCTGGATCGACCTGGGAGCCAAGGTCATTTTTGAAAAGTCCGACTCCGTCAGAACCTGAACCCATGATCTTTGAATCCGCACATGAGTGTCTAGCCGCTACACCATGACGGCTTTTGTGGAATGAGGTAGCCAGTCTGAAATTCTTTCATCATCTCTTACAACATGCATCGTCATTGTCAGCACCATGTACAACATATATGGTCATTGTCAGCACCTCGTACAACATGCATCGTCATTGTCAGCACCTCGTACAACATGCATCGTCATTGTCAGCACCTCGTACAGCATGCATCGTCATTGTCAGCACCTCGTACAACATATATGATCATTGTCAGGACCTTGTACAACATATATCGTCATTGTCAGGACCTTGTACAACATATATCCTCATTGTCAGCACCTCGTACAACATATATGGTCATTGTCAGCACCTCATACAACATATATGATCATTGTCAGGACCTTGTACAACATATATGGTCATTGTCAGCACCTCATACAGCATATATGGTCATTGTCAGCACCTTGTACAACATGTATGGTCATTGTCAGCACCTCGTACAACATATATGGTCATTGTCAGCACCTCGTACATCATGTATGGTCATTGTCAGCACCTCGTACAACATATATGGTCATTGTTAGCACCTCATACAACATATATGGTCATTGTCAGCACCTCATACAACATATATGGTCATTGTCAGCACCTCGTACAACATATATGGTCATTGTCCGCACCTCGTACAACGTATATGGTCATTGTCCGCACCTCGTACAACATATATGGTCATTGTCAGCACCTCATACAACATATATGGTCATTGTCCGCACCTCGTACAACATATTTGGTCATTGTCCGCACCTCATACAACATATATGGTCATTGTCAGCACCTCATACAGCATATATGGTCATTGTCAGCACCTTGTACAACATATATGGTCATTGTCAGCACCTCGTACAACATATATGGTCATTGTCAGCACCTCGTACAACATATATGGTCATTGTTAGCACCTCATACAACATATATGATCATTGTCAGGACCTTGTTCAACATATATGGTCATTGTCAGCACCTCATACAGCATATATGGTCATTGTCAGCACCTTGTACAACATGTATGGTCATTGTCAGGACCTTGTTCAACATATATGGTCATTGTCAGCACCTCATACAGCATATATGGTCATTGTCAGCACCTTGTACAACATGTATGGTCATTGTCAGCACCTCGTACAACATATATGGTCATTGTCAGCACCTCGTACATCATGTATGGTCATTGTCAGTATTTCTATCCTTTGCTTCCCTCATGTATCCCAGTAGCACACAGGCAACAGTTGGCCTCACGTTTGTAAATGATTTTTTTAACAATATCATTACATGTTAGCAAATGTTTTTATTTTTTTTATTTTCATTTAGATTTAACGTCAAACATGACTGGCCAGGAAGACGTCCTACGAGCTTTGGGGTGCATTGTTAAAATGAACATAGAAAACATTGCAGAAGACTGCTCTGCTTGTGGGATTCTGCTCAGTCCTTCTCGAGGCATTATTTTATCTCATGGGTCCATCCTGACAGAGCTTTGTCTCAAGGATAAATCTTTGTACTCATCACTGAAACATGAGCATGTCATCAAAGGATCAGATCTTCATAGTTCTAAGTTTGAGGTGTTAATTGATGACAGATGGTCGACTCGATTTGAATCAACACATCCAGCTCCTATAGCAAGAGAATCAAGTGATAATTTGTCAGAACCGGGCAGAAACACTGTAACATCAGCGTCTTTTATTCGTGTTAAATGTGTATTGCTTTATGCATTCAGAAATGCTGATTTCGCCAAGACTCTAGCAAAAATTATGCCTGACAGTAATTGGACCTTCACTACCGATTGCTCTGAAGACTCAACTTCTGAAGATAGTACATCTCTGCAACAACACGACATGACAGACATAGATGAAAATAATGTTTGCTTTAATTTGCTCAGTTACTTTTTGCTTCTGAAAATTGCACCCTTAAGTTTAAATTCTCAGAATAATTATTTGTTATCATCACTGAGACCATTGTTATTGAAGTCACACAACTGTCAAATAGGAGACTTTGCAGAAATTGTAGCCACACCATTTGGCAGTCAGAATCCCTTGTTATTTTTCAACTCCTTCAGCAGAGGTGTTGTTTGCAATGTCAGTGGCACGCAGGGATGTTGGATTTTGACTGATGCTCGTTGCATACCTGGCTCAGAAGGGGGACCACTGTTTACAGGAAATGACAACCAGACTAGGTATTGATTTGATTTATTCAACCTTTTTTGTTTTGCAGTCTCTGTCTTCTATTTTTGTTAATTTGAAAGAACTACTTATTAACTCTTTGGGCACAAAGGAACTCATCATATGTTTATTTATAACTAACTTAACTGTTCTCTGGTGCTGAAAGAGTTGAATTGAAATAACTAACTGTAACAGAGTTATAGTATCACTTTCAGTTTCATGGATTCATTTTTTGGTGACAGGGCAAACCCGTAGATGCTCTGTCACCAGAATGAAATGCATTGGTGATGATTGTTTCATCTTCACATTGATTTTAAACTTGTCATTTTTGTCCTCTCTTATGTCCTTGTGTTCCACTGTGCTATAGAGAGTCATGGAAAACACATCCTATACGATACAAATAATGTCAGGGATTAATTTGCACATATCCAAAGCACAAAGCCTGGTGAAGAGACTGCGTTATCCATGCAACATGCTATCATTCTCAGCCAGCTTTGTTAACTCCAAAGAAAAGGTAACACCAGTATGTAAATTTGGAATAGAAACATGCTGCAGAAGCTGTACCTTCTAGTAGCAATGATTCATTGGTAGCCAGCAGAGTGTTTACCTTATGAGTGTTCTTAATGCTGTCACTTATGTAGCTTGTTCATTGCCTTGTGCTCCTGATTTCTTTGGACAGTATATCTGTATAGAGCCGGACTATTTTCAAAAAGGACCTTGTCTCCCAGGTCAACCCAGCCTTGAGTGGGTACCGGGTGCAGTCCCGGGAAGTAAAGGCAACCGGCTTGATGCTAACCACATCACCCATCTTGTGCCGGTTGGTCTATAAAAATATAGGTCTAGCCCCATGTGCCCTATACTCCTAAAGGTGTGGAAAAGGGTCCTTTACTTATACCTATATAAGTCTCTCTAAAATGGAAGTAACAAAGCTCAATAAGTCAGGCCACGTCAGTCCAGTTTTAATTTCACTCAATGCAGGCTGGGAGTCAGATACTATAATGTTTCTCTTATCTGTATTACCAAGTGGCTGAAATGAGAAACTAAGTCATTGGGAACTAGCTACATCACAGTAGGTAAACCTAGTGTTGCTGTAAAGAATCTTACACAGAAAATTAACAAAGAAACAAAACTGTTTTTCTTCCTACAGCCTTGTAATGTTAATGCTTTCATATAACATGTTTGTGGAGTATATATCTAAGCAGTAATTAGACAACAGTACAGAAAGGGTGTACAACCTGGGATCTAAGAATACAAAAGTTGAGGAGCTTTTGTAATGTTTGAGAATCTGGAAGTCAATAGAAATAAAATTTTGTAACCAGCTTATTATATTTATTTTAAATGTTGAAACAGTAGTGCTGCATGGAACTGAAACTTGAAGAATAACACACACGCTCACACCAACCCACTGTCCACGACCGGCTCAAGTACACTATTTGTGACCTATAGTTGATTGCAGCCATTGAAGATCTCATACAGGAAAAATGACCTACTGTGAGTGACATTGCCACACGGTTGACATAATTCACAGATGAATTTCCATAGATTGGTGTGAAAGGCAGTGAGAGAGCAGACGCTCTGGCTGGCAGTGCGACTATCAGGAAAGGGCCCTCTATGGACAGGAGAGACATCAGCAATGCCATATGAGAGACTAAACGTGAGAATTTCACTTTCGTAGAAAAATGATTTTTCACTGAATAGACTGCATACCCTGGGTACACCAGTTAAGGCCACGAGACAGGAAAACCATGCGGAAGACCACCTGTCTTTACAATAACCAAAACAGGCTGGGAATTGTTGGCCTAAAAACACTTGGAGACATACTCAGGAGGAGATCGGAGCACTTATAGTCATGTGTGATAAAGATGAACTTTACATGAACAATGAACATTTGCATAGATTTCACTCCATCATTGATCAGATAACAGAACACTGCTCCTCTTTGTTGCACGTTGAAGTGGGGCGGCCGTCTTTTAACTGTCATTATGATGTCACCATGGTTATCTGTACCATGATGTCTTGTGCTTGTTGTTAAACTTAACAATATTGACAAATTACAAGTAAATGACATGCTTATTGCGATTTCTGACACACTTTTAAGGTTTCTATTTGAAGCCCCCTAATGGAACACTAATAATAGTTGTTTGTTGTATCTATTATTGTGCATTAAGTGGCAGGACAAAATCACAAACACTGAGGTACTGGAAAGAGCAGGTACTACAAGTCTTTTCAATGCTCAGTCTACGAAGGCTCAGGTGGCTGGGTCACACCTGGAGAATGGAGGATGGCAGAGTCCCTAAGGATATCCTTTATGGTGAATTAAAGGCAGGAAGAAGATGTCGAGGCCGACCTCTACTATGGTATAAAGATGTGTGCAAGTGGGACATGAATGATACAGGTACTGAGGTGGACTCATGGGAACAAAATGCCATGGACCACGTTGTGTGGAAATGATTTCAGAAAGGATAAGAGCTGAGCGTCTGAAAAGAAACGGATTAAACACAAATGTTTTTAACAATGGTCCTGAAATCCCATGCTATCATTGTGGAACATTTTCTTGACATGGGCGGGTCTTGCTAGTCATACTTGCCATAGCCATGGGCTGTGAGTCTCATGCCTCCTTATAGCGCAGTATAACACTATTGTCTGGAAAGACGAAAAGGAAAAGTGCCAATCATTTCTTGAGGCCTCAGAGATGTGGTTTTACAGAAGAATGCATTAAATACCTCGGACTGCTTAAAAGAGCAACTAAGAGGTTTTGAAAAAAGGCCAGAGCCTGAAGACAGCTTATCACAGGTATCAGAAGGAGACAGTCATCATTTATCGGCCATGTTATAGGAAGAGGGAAAATGGAACATTTTGTGACCACTGGAAAGATAAGTGGAAGGAGAGATAAAGGAATACAAGAAAGAAGATTCTTGACAGTCTTGTTGCATGGCACAAAGGTGTGTCAGCACACAAACTGATACATGCTGCAGGAGATTGTGGAGAGGCATGATCGCCAACGCCAGTTGGCAAGGCACCTGATGATGATGATTATGTCTGTTAGTGGCAGATACATTTTGCTGTTATTTCTTCTGTTATGATGTTTGACACTAATTCTTATAAACAAATATTTTGTGTGCAGACGTCTCTCAGGCATTATTGCTGCATCCTTGTGTTGGAAGAACAAAGAATGGATTGGGTTTTCCTTGGCATGCAGCTTAAACAGTATCTACAGTGCACTGGACTTTTATATGAAAGCAGGCAGGCTCAAACTGTGGTCAGAATCCAAAGATTGGATTGAAAGGAACCTGTTAAACGGACGCAGTACCCTTTTATCCAATACAAAAAATGCACCGATATGTAAATATGTTTTTATTCTAAACTGCCTTTGTATATATTTAGGCTAATTTTAAGTTTAGAATATAAATGATTTCACCAGCTGAGTATGGGTTAAAAAAAATTCAAATGAGTGATATCTGGATTACATCATTTTGTTGCAGGATCTGGCATCTCTGTTTGAGTTACGAGTCGATGTCACAGCACTCAGGGCATTCTCATAAAGGTTACACTTCTGCCTCATTTTCAACAGCCAACACCGATTTCCAAATTCTGATGGTACCAGTTGAGTTGAGTCAAGAATTGACATCACAGCACTTGGGGCATTCCCATGCATGCTCCATCCTCATCTTCAGCAGCCAGCGCAGAGTTCTAATACTGATGGTGCACAATCTTGTTAAAAGTCCGTCTTGCCTTTCCTCTGAGTGTAATGAGCCGGCCAGACCCTCTGGTTACACCCAGGTGCCTCCTTCTCTTCAGGCCATAATCTTTTTTTCTCAACTGATTCCGTTGCTTGTTCCCAAAGGGCTTTGACCACATCTGGTAGTCTTAGTTTCAGTTTCATAGCAAACGTATCACCCCATCTTTGCTCTGCTCCCATGCCAACGAAAAACACACCGAATGTTCATCACAGTCTCTTGTGGAGAGATTAACAAACTGCTGTCTCAGCATATCTAGCATACACACGCATTAAAGCATACGGTAGCCATCCGAAGTGCTAACACAAACAGTCCGACATTAGAAATGCAGTTCATCATTAATAGTAGCAGAAGTCACCAACAGATCAGCAGTTGCCCACGTGATTAATTTTAATCACATAGGGGCACCACCAACATTGCGACGACAGGCATCGTGCCATTTTCTGAATCTACAATTCACACCACCAGGTTGGTCACAGTTGAAAAAACATTCCAAATGAAATCCACAGCTCACAGTGTCACACCATGCAGTCAACTCAGAAGCTGGGCGATGAAACTTTATCCAGTCTACAAATGGAGCAAAAATGCATCGGCAACCGTCCAGCAGAAGCAAAAAATTTGCCTCAGCTCCAAACAAGTGAAGTAAAGGACCATATTGACACCACTGGTGCATCAGACATTTGAGGCTAGTCTTATTTTTGTGTTGACCATTTGGTTAATGATGTGCAAAAATCTGGCCTGCCATCCTTACTTCTTCTTTTGTCTCACTGTTACCAGTGTGTAGCCTAGGGTCATGACCTTTAGCATTGTCAGTCCAGTATCTACAAGAGTGTCCTATAATTGATTCCTTTTTGTGAAGTAGTGGTTGATTGATTGTTGGCTTCTTTGGCTTAGGCGTTGCGAACGCGCTTCGTAATGCCAGGGTGCCGGATTCGATCCCTGCTGCGGACGGTTTGTCTTGCACTGGTTTCAACAGTGGTACCGAGAGATGACCCCATCTAGAAAGCATTGGCAAACTACTGGACGTAAATTTGCCTAGAAAAACCACAACAGTCAGAAAGTGCTGGGGTTGGTTCTGCAAGTGGTTGATTACACCACTGTTGGCTTGCTAGGTCCTCGATTACACCACTGTTGGCTTGCTAGGTCCTCGATTACACCACTGTTGGCTTGCTAGGTCCTTGATTACACCACTGTTGGCTTGCTAGGTCCTTGATTACACCACTGTTGGCTTGCTAGGTCCTTGATTACACCACCGCTGGCTTGCTAGGTCCTTGATTACACCACTGTTGGCTTTCTAGGTCCTTGATTACACCACCGCTGGCTTGCTAGGTCCTTGATTACACCACCGTTGGCTTGCTAGGTCCTTGATTACACTACTGTTGGCTTGCTAGGTCCTCGATTACACCACTGTTGGCTTGCTAGGTCCTTGATTACACCACTGTTGGCTTGCTAGGTCCTTGATTACACCACTGTTGGCTTGCTAGGTCCTTGATTACACCACCGCTGGCTTGCTAGGTCCTTGATTACACCACTGTTGGCTTGCTAGGTCCTTGATTACACCACCGCTGGCTTGCTAGGTCCTTGATTACACCACCGTTGGCTTGCTAGATCCTTGATTACACCACTGTTGGCTTGCTAGGTCCTTGATTACACCACCGTTGGCTTGCCAGGTCCTTGATTACACCACCGTTGGCTTGCCAGGTCCTTGATTACACCACCGCTGGCTTGCTAGATCCTTGATTACACCACTGTTGGCTTGCTAGGTCCTTGATTACACCACCGCTGGCTTGCTAGGTCCTTGATTACACCACTGTTGGCTTGCTAGGTCCTTGATTACACCACTGTTGGCTTGCTAGGTCCTTGATTACACCACTGTTGGCTTGCCAGGTCCTTGATTACACCACCGCTGGCTTGCTAGGTCCTTGATTACACCACTGTTGGCTTTCTAGGTCCTTGATTACACCACCGCTGGCTTGCTAGGTCCTTGATTACACCACTGTTGGCTTGCTAGGTCCTTGATTACACCACTGTTGGCTTGCTAGGTCCTTGATTACACCACTGTTGGCTTGCTAGGTCCTTGATTACACCTCTGCTGGCTTGCTAGGTCCTTGATTACACCACCGCTGGCTTGCTAGGTCCTTGATTACACCACTGTTGGCTTGTTAGGTCCTTGATAGCACCACTGTTGGCTTGTTAGGTCCTTGATTACACCACTGCTGGCTTGCTAGGTCCTTGATTACACCGGTGTTGGCTTGCTAGGTTTTTGATTACACCACCGCTGGCTTGCTAGGTCCATCGCATGGCAGTACAAGAAAATCTTACCTGATTGATCCCAGGCGATCCATTGCCCCATTAGCATGAAACTTTACAACTTCAGTTTTCTGGCGTGCACCACAAGGAGGTTGGGTTGATCCGGATATGCTCTATGGGTCATTGGCAGGTTACTTAATTTTACTTTTCACCTCTCTGAATAGAAGCTAAACAATCTTAACAACGCTGACTGTAGTGCCAAGCACTTGAGCACACCCTTGCATGCCTTTACTTGCCAGGACAGTACCTGGTATCCACCTTAGGCTTGGTTGAACTGGGAGCTAAGAAAAATTTTGAAAATCATCTTCTTCTTGTACTTTGCATTTACCGGCTTAAACGCTAGCCTAAAGTTCTGGTTGTTTGACCACTCCTGAACTTTAGTCTTGTTCTAGAACTAGAATTTTGCATGCACATCTGTTTTACAGTTCTGACTTATTTGTCTGTAAACTGTTGACACCTAACTTCTCAGGCAGATGCACTCTGACTTATTTGTCTGTAAACTGTTGACACCTCACTTCTCAGGCAGATGCACTCTGACTTGGAGAGTAAACCGTATTTATGACATGATTTTTAGTGTGGCAGTGCGTCTTTGTTTTTCTCTCACAGGAAGGTCCCAGAACCCACTCAGGGAATTTTGAAAATAATCTACATACACTGTACTTCGTGAATTACATCATATATGATGATGGATACACAAAAACAAGGTATGCACACACAATCTTACAGGAAAATTTAAAAAACACAACTGTATAAAATATAATCAAGAATTTAGTCTGCCTTAACAATAAAAATCAACAATTCCCCTCCTTTGTAAGCAGATGGAATTTATCGTAAATTTGAAGTTATTCTGGTAAGTCACGTGACTACGGTGAGCTTCTGGCGGCCATGAAACAGAGATTTATCGAAGAAACTATTCTCATTTCAGTTGAATTTATTAAGTTTTGTGCTTTAGTTTATGTTGATGTAACTCTGTAGTAACGCACCTGATGAGATACAGCGAAATTGTGCAATGTATTGTTTGTATCCGCATTATTTAAATATAAACATTTGTTTCTGACGTACCCAGAAAAAAGGGGTTATCATTTATCCAGTTTAATTTGTAAATATCCAGCATTTCAGTAATTCTCTTTGTAAAACATGGCTATTTTTAATTTTTAGATGTCAGGAAGAGATCGTTGTTGTCATCCACTGTGGCAGTACGGGTTGGAAGCACATGGGGCTCAGGAATCATCGTTGACCGAGACAAAGGAATCATTTTAACATGTGGTCATGTTGTCAAAGATTCACACAGCTTTGATGGTGAGTGTCATTCTTTTTCTTCTGTTTCTTTGTTCACTGGCTGTAAGCTGCAGCGGAAAGTCCTGGTTGTTCGTCCATTTGAACTTTGGCTTTATGCTAGGGCCTGAGTTTTGAATGTACATTCGTTTTACTGACTTATATGTCCTTGCCGCTTGGGCAGATGCACTCTGACTTGGCTCCCAATTAGACGACTCCTACGACATGCTTGTTGGAGAGGCAGTGGCTTTATTCTTGTTTTCCCCCACAATGGGAACCCACACGAGGAGTGTCATTGTTTTTTTGTTTTTTTTAAATGAGTCTCAGAAGTGGTGAACCAAATGAGGTGATGTAGTCTTCCTGGGACAAGGTTCCCAACTGGGGACCTTGCGATTGTAGATAGGGTGATGTAGTCTTCCTGGAACAAGGTTCCCAACTGGGGACCTTGCGATTGTAGATAGGGTGATGAAGTCTTCCTGGGACAAGGTTCCCAACTGGGGACCTTGCGATTGTAGATAGGGTGATGTAGTCTTCCTGGGACAAGGTTCCCAACTGGTGACCTTGTGATTGTAGATAGGGTCTATGTTTCCTTCACAGTGGATCTGCCTGAGAAGTAAGAAACCAACAGATCACAGATAATCCAGATCCACAAAATAGATGTGTATGCAACACTCAGGTCGTAGAATAAGACAAATTCCAGATGTGGACAAACAGTCAGGACTTTCTGCCAGACTTTACAGCCAGTGAACTTGAAAGAAGAAGTTTCATCATTTTAATATGCGGTCATCTGTCAGTGATTCACTCAGCTTTGATAGTGAGTTCATTTCTACACAGATGGCTGTTTGAGTGAGTGATTAATAAATGCGTTTAACAGTTTTATGATCCTTAAGCATTATGGTTATATTTCTGTGGTGGCAGATTTGTGTGTGTGTGCTGCTTTTATGGTTTTAAAACATAGTATGTGTCGCATTGTGAATTTGATTGCGGCCTGACTGTGTAATATTTCCAAAGACACACAGTGGATACACTGAGCCAGTCGTCATTGTGGAGACAGCACTCAATTAATTTATTTATTTGTTTTATACAGGCTTTTGACTGTGATGATGTAAAATGTCCATTTAAGTTTAATTCAGTACATTCATATAAGGGTGATTGTTTGAATTTTATTTTCAGTACAATATATTTTTTCAAGTGCGTTTTTTTTCCCAGTACATTGTTGTATTTTTCTTGTCAGTACATTGTTGTATTTTTCTTTTCAGGACCTTGTATTTTTCTTTTCAGAACATAGTTTGTTTTGAGTACATTGTTGTATTTTTCCCCAGAACAAAGCTTGTTTTTTTTTCCCAGTACATTATTGTCTTTTTAGTACATTGTTGAATTTTTCAGTCTTCTTTTTCTTCTTCCTTACATCCTCTTTTACCACTTCGGTCCTGTTTCATGCTCTTCTGTCTGCTTCGACCATAGACACGTCGTGGTGTTGTAGAGTTTCTCTGATGTTATCTTCCCATCTTGTTCTTGATCTACCTTTTGCTCGAGGTCCCTTTCCTCTTTTGATATATGCCTTGTATGGTATAGCATCAGAAGGCATTCTCTCCAACTGGGGAAACCATTTTATTTGCTGGCCTTGTATGTAATTTAAAATTGGTTCTGTGCCGACTATATCCTGTATGACCTTATTCCTGATTTTATCTCTTCTGGTCACTCCTGCAGTCTTTCTCAAACACCTCATTTCCATGGTTACTAAGTTTCTTTTATTCTTCTTCTTCTTCTTTGCGTTCACCAGCTGTACACTCTGGCGGAAAGTTCTGGTTGCTCGTCCATTACTGAACTGCAGTCCTGCTCCAGAACCTGAGTGTTGTGTGTGCATCAGTTTTACAGATCTCATTCTCTTGAATACAGACTGTTGGTTCCTTGCCTCTCTGGCAGATGCACTCTGACTTCAAAGGAAGCTCCCCAATTAGTAGACTCTTACGACATGCTTTTGGGGAGGCAGTGGGTCTATTCTTGTTTTCCCCACAATGGGGACCCGGAACCCACACGGGTGTGTTTCTTTTATGTTTTGTTTGAGTGATCACATCTGGCACTAGTATGAGATGTTTCTTTGTGCTGATTGGGATTTCCTTATGCTGTACCTTGTTATATTTTTCTTTTCAGTACATTGCTGTACGGCAGCAAAATGTAATGTTTATCAAAAAAGGCTCTAAAAGAGGTTTATGAAATCAGAAAATCTATTAAAAGAATAAAGATAAAAGACCAAAGTTTAAAACAAGTTCAACGCTTGAGATACTTGGGGAGCATCTTTATTTCTGATGGCAGAATAGACAGAAACAAGAATCCATTAAGCCAACAATGTCACATATCAACTGACACCAATTTTGAAACACCCGGCTATCCCAGTAGAGATAGAAAGAAATTGTAAATGCAGTCTTCATACCAACCTTGTGCTATCAGTGTCAGACCTGGACATTGGCTAAAGGACATGAAAGAAAACTAACCACCTGCGAAATGAGATGTTTGAGAAAGGCTGTGAACAAAACTAGAAGAGATCTTGTGAGAAACAAAGAAATTACAAAAACTATTCGAACACTGCCTATAATTAAATTCAATTGAAAAACCAACAAAGTAATGGTTTGGCCATTTAGTGAGAATGAATCCAAGGATGCCAGCATACAACATGAAAGTAGAAACATCAAAATGTTGGGGACAACCAAGAAGATGATGGACTGAAGGAGAGTCGCAGTTATCATAAAACCACAGCATAGTGTGCAACCGAGCGTGCCCTGGTTCAGAAAGTGATCATTTGCTAACTTATGATGCCTAGCGACACAATGCAGAAAATGGACAAAGGAAGTTGTATTTTTCTTTTAGGTAGATTGTTGTATTTTTCCTTTCAATACGTTGTTTTATTTTTGTTTTATTTTTCTTGTCAGTACCTTTTTGTAATATTACTTCTCAGTACATTTTGGTAAATTTATTGTCAGTACACTGTTGTCTGTTTCTTGTTTCAGTACCTTGTTTATTTTGTTTTTAATTTAGTACGTTGATGTATTTTTATTTTCAGTACACTGTCTTGTTTCTTTTTTATACATTGTTGTAGTTTTCTTTTCAGTACATTGTTGTAATTTTATTTTCAGTAGATTTATTTTATTTTTCAATATTTGTTTTCACTACATTTGTTTAAATCGTCAGTACACTATTTTATTTTCATTGCCCCCCCCCCCCCCCCCTCCCCCCTTCCCCGTTTTTACAGTACAGATCAAACCTTTCCAAGGCTCACCTCGGTACAAGGCTACACTAGTCTACAGCAGCTCTGGCACTTTTCAGAAACCTTATGATATCGCCATTTTGAAATGTCCACAAGCTGTTCACAGTTGTCCCGTCTACAGAGAGCCTAGGATATGCAGTCCTAAACTTGGTTGGTTATCTATAATTTGTTTTTATTTGTTAGTTGATCATATTATTTTGTGATTGATTCTAAATGGAACATTAGAGTGGAAGAGAGACAGGGAAGATCAAAGGAGAAGATGCTGGACAGTTTGACGTCATGGCATGATGGGACATTTATGTACATATTTATTAAGATTTGTTCCCTCTGACTTTCTATCATACTTTTCTACAAACGTGTTCACATCTGCTGTTAATAATTTAGAATTTTCTTTTTCTCAAAGCCTGTGTCATGTGGCATTTGTCAACACCATTGCCCTTCTATGTTTAACACACACAACACACAAAAACAGCAACAAAAAACATAAAAGGATCCTTTTTTTTACAACAGTTTCACATCAGGCATATGATGCTAGGCTCATATTTGTATAGACCTTGTTGGGTGATATGGTCAGCTTCCCACCAGCTGCCTTTACTTTCCAGGACATTGCCTGGTACCCAATTTTAGCTGGTACCTCCCCTCCCCCCCCCCCCCCCCCCCCACTCAAAGTATTCAGTATCAGCACTTTTCTTTGAAGCTTCATTTTGTCAGCACACTGTAATAGACATTGTGTGGTGAGTGCCAACACTATTTTATGAGACTTTGTGGTCAGTACTGGCACCTTTTTACCTTAGGAAAAACCCCAGCTTGTACCCATTTATTTTAAAGAACTAAGGAAGCGAGGACCTCCACAAGAAATCCTATAAAAAAAACTTTGTGAGAGGACCTTGTTGCCAGTGTGGATAAGGCGATTTTCTAAAGCGAGGCGGGTAGTATGATCTCCGATATCGACAAGAAGACACTCAAACCAATCCCTCTCCATTTTAATAGCCCTGACCACAGCGGTAAAGATGACATATCTGTCACAGCATTAAAATCATGCTCTGGCGATCATACTACCCGCCTCGCTTTGGAAAGTTGCCTTATCTACAGCCTTGGCGTTCTTAGTCCAAATGGTATCAATATCCAACATACCTTCATCTAGATAGTTCTAATCTTATCACATTTTAAATGTTAATTCTTTTATTTTATTTCATATTATTACTTTATTATATTTTTTAGCAGTATCATTTATGTATCATTAATACTTGGATTTCTTTTATTCCCAGTATTGTGACTATATTTTTTAGCCATGGTTTATTTTATTTCATTTCATTTATTCCGCATCACATTTTTATAAAACGTAGCTCACGTAACCCCTTAGAGATCTACCTACATACTCTCTATTCCTCATTTGTGTAGTTCACTTATGTTTGAAAAAGGCTGCCCGGCCGAAACGTTACGTTGTGTTGTTTTGTGCACGTTTTCCTCTTTCCCATTTTGTTGAGCTTTTTAGTCAAATTTCTCTGGAATTCCTTGGTGATCCTCTGCTTGTTTCGCCTCAGGATGTGTCCAATATTGTGCCATCATCTTTGTCATATCACTGTTGTCAGCAGTGGTTGCACAGACGTTTCTCTTTCTCTTCTCTTCACCTCTCTTGAATATACATTTACTTTCAGCAAACCTAATTCGTTGCCTTTTATGACATGCTTGTTAGAGGCAGTGGGTAAATTAATCCCCTCCCCTTTGCCACAAAATATTGCTCAAGAACTTGCATGGGGATGTGATTCTGTTCAGGTTTAAACACATCATTAATTCATCTTCAAAACATTGTACACTGTTAATGAAATACAGTCTGTAGTAAGAAAGTGGTGTCCTTGTACAGTGTGTTTGCTTTATTTGTTTTGCTGCCAGGTGAGAGGGTTTTTGTTGTTGGCCATGCCTTGTTCAGCACAGAGCTTGACCTGCAGCCATCACTGTGTGCAGGAGTCATTGCCAAGGTCGTAACATTTAAAGGCCAGTCTGTGATGATACAGGTAATGATTACCAAGTCTTTTTTTAAAAATTAATTTATTATGTACTAGTAAGGTAAAGATAGTCAAGGTGGATCGGGCATATTAACCTATCTCGTCATCCCCTTGTGGGAGCAATTTTTAGTTATTATGATGCCCCACCCTGGCTTTTGGTGCGAGCCCTAAACAGAGCCGGGCCTGCAATATGGCCTAATGGCTGAACAGGGCTTCTACTACCTCTCCATAGGTGATCCTCATCCACATGGTGGCACTTTGTGTCACCGGGTGTTTATCGCTCTGTATGATATCCTGGTGGGGGTACAATTTGCATACATACATCGGGCATAAGTGCTAGACGTCAGTTTTGTTTAGACCTGTTAACACTGACGTGATCAGCACCATGCTAGATTCTTTTATTTCCAAAGACATTTTATATAATAAACTTAAAATGAGCAACTGGCCGAGCAGTTAGAATACTAGGCTATCATTTGGAACCATATTTTACATACTCTGTTGAAAAAAAAAAGATAAAGCTGGTTGCCTTTTCCTTATAGGACATCGTAAACCAATCCCAGCATTCATTGGCTGCTGTGGTTTTGCTCTGAAATTTTAATTTTAGTAATTTAAATTTTCATTAAGATTTTGGAATTTTTTTTTCTATTTCGAGGTAGGGTAAAAATATCATTCTTAACCTGCTGAATTCATGACCACATTAGCCATGTAGACACAAAATTGATCTACTGAATTCATAAGGATATGGGGCACATTCAGCAGTTGGCGTGTTGTTTTGTGGTTTACAGCTAGGTGTGTTTTATCTATGCATTTCGTTTGGCTCAACACATTCAGTTTCATCTAACCCTTAATCAGTCAAATTTATAAACTCCAAAAGGGCATAACAGATTAGTTGTCTTTTTATTAACATGTTAAACAAATAACCCCTCCCCCCCCCCTCCCCGCCATTATACAGATAAACATCTGTTTTTTTCCCCTGTTTTCAGACCTGTTGTCTGATTATTTTCAGTCTACTTGTGCAGTGCATGCTGGGGCAAGTGGTGGGCCATTATTGAACACAGCAGGTGATTTGGTTGGCATAGTTGTCTGCAACACAGTGTAAGTTGTACTTGTTATTGAAGAATGGAAGCTGTCTTTTTTTTCCCAGGTTATCAGATGAATCAGAACTTTATCACTTTTTGGATTCATATTGACTTACTCTCAGAAATATTTGAGGCAGTATGGAATCCTACAAAAGATCACTGATGTAGTAATAGCAATATGTATATTAGAACTGGGAAAGTCCTTTATGAGGGAGGAAATTAGGATTTCTTGTGTCAGCTTTGTTGCTCTTGTGGTCAGCTATAGGAGGTCCGACAATTAAGTAATGAGACTAATTCCATAAAAATTAAAATAACCAACAGTTGAAGATATAACCTGTATCTGATTCAAAGTAAGCCCCTTGTGCATTGATACTGCAAGTGGCACAATCTAACAAACACTGGAACGACCTCTGTAGTTATTTTGTTATTATGACCCTTAAAGTTGATGTTACGGTCCTTTGGGTGTCATCAATATCTTCAAAGAAGCGTCCTTTTAATGGTAAATTTAATTTTGGGAAACGAAAATAATCACAGGAAGACAAATCTGGGGTGTAGGGTGGATGGTTGAGAACACATACTTGTTTTTAAGCCAAAATTCCTGTACAACTACCACCCTTCAGGCTGGTGCATTGTCACGAAGAAGAAACAAATTGCCAGGTATTTTATACAAACCAGCAAGCAACTTTTTGGGGGGGGGGGTTAAATCTTCCACTAAAATTTTATGAATAGTCTCTGTATTAACACCAAATTCATCTACCATCATCCTCACAGTCGAACAACTATCTTCTTGTATCCATTCTCGGATTCCTCATTACGAACAGAAATTGAGCATCCAGTTCTAGTTGCATTAGTAATCATTTCCACACTACTTTTGAATCGTGAATACCAGCTGAAAATTTGTGCACGAGATAACAAATTATCCCCATAAACCTGTCGCATCAATTCAACTGTTGCAATAGCGCTTTTTCTGAGATTTAAAAAGAATTTAATGTTAGCTTTTTAAATACTCCATGCTGATTACATAACAATGCACCTCTGACTAGGTTAACAAAATGGCGGCTGTTCTGTGTACTGTCAATTATTTCTGTACAGATGTTCTTGCATGCCATAATGCTTAGCTGTCCATCTGCCTCTCTTTCCTCCAGCTTTTCTGTTATCACTATGCACTCCATTATTCCCCTTCTTCTGATGAGCCTACAGATGCAGCTATTAGAAATAAAAATTCATGGAAGACAAAGATAATGAAAATAAATTCAGCAAATGATAACCCAGTTTCTCTTAATGAAATCATACTTTAAGATGTGAAGTCATTTCACATACTTGTTATCTCCATCATCGCGTGTAGGATGTAATTTTTCGTTATTTTGAAGCTCCACCCTGGCTGTTGCCAGGGGCTGCAATATAACCTAATGAATGATTGAACACGATTTCCGGGACCTCTCCATGGGTGATCCTCATCCGCAATTGGCACTTTGTGTCACCGGGTGTTTATCCCTCTGTGTGATATCCTGGTGGAGTACAATTTACTTACATATATACTTGAGCAGTAATGAGGATAATGAAAAGGAAACAGAGACAGATATTAAAAATAAAAACAGAAAAGACTAGAAACAAATGCAAAGAAAATAAATGCACTAGAAAACTTAAATTATTCAACTCTCACATCACATGGGCTGCTGTATATATAAGGAACAAGCTGAATGACTGAGGCTGTTATTAACAAACTACAAACATTCACTAAGAGTGCTCAAGTATTATGACACAGTCACTGTCTATTCAAAAAAATTTTCAGAGACAAGGGAAGCAATTCCAGTTACCCACATATCAACATGAGTATCCCAGCTGTTAGTGTCTGGCCTATTGTTCAGAGTTATCTTCAGACCGGAGGTCAGTTCTGTTGTCTTATAGATGAATTTATAGCTGTTTTATCTGTATACACAAGGGAGCTGAATAGTCGTAGACCATGAGGCCGATCAAGAAGATGATGGAGAGATAATGTCTAGACAGACCTACAAACACGTGGCCTCACCAACTGGAAAGAGAAGGCCAACTAGAGATAAATGGAGGCAGGTGAAATCTGCAGCAATGAACCTCAAGGGCTCAGAATGCTGAAGAAGAAGAAGAAGCTATTTTATCCCAATGCATTGTAGCAAGGTTGGTTTAGTGTTGGGCCTTCATGACTTCTGGACTCTTTGCTCTAGAACTAAAGTTTTGTATGCACACCCATTTTTCATATCTGTTTTACTTTTTTGCAGATTGTTAGTTCCTCAGCTGTGAAGCAGATGCAATGTCACTTCAGAGGAAATACCCCTGATTAGTTAACTTTTATGACACACTTTTAAGGGAGGCAGTGGGTCTATTCTTTTCCCCCCACAACAAGACCCCAGAACCCGCACAGGGAGTCTTCCCAGCATAGATTAGGCTATGGCATAACAGTGTGTGATGCAGCCTGTTCTCTTCCTTGCCATCTGTTATTCAAAAACTGATTTGTCCCCATGTATGTTGTCAGTGAACAAATTAGGAGATGTGGTTTCTGAGATGAATGTTACGAATACCTTGGACGGCCAGAGTAACTAACAACGATTGCTTGAAAGAAGCTAATGAAAGTAGATCCCTATGTACAACAATAAGAAAGAGACAAACACTATTCTTTGGCCACAAAATGAGAAGAGAGACATTGGAGAACATCGTAACAACTGGAAAGATCAGTGGAAAAGGGGGTAGAGGCAGACCAATAGAAACCAATGCTTGAGGACCTTGATTTTGCAGATGATATAGCACTCCTGTCACATAAACATGAACATATATACAAGAGAAAAGTAACAGTCTAAACTGCACAGCAGAAATGGTGGGACTGAGAATAAATACAAAGAAAACTAAGATCATGACAAACAGTCCAAACCAACAACCAGTGACCAAAAGTAACCAATCACTTGAAAATGTAGAACATTTCACATATCTTGGCAATGTGGTGTCCCTACTGGGAGGGACAGAGGAAGACATACAGTCACGTCTGAACAAAGCTAGAGCTGGTTTTTAAAGGATGAGGCAAATCTGGAAATCCAACAATTACTGCAGAGGAACGAAACTTCGACTCTACAAGAGCATCATTTTGCCAGTTCTTCTTTATGGAGCGGAATGCTGGAGAATGACCAAAAAGGATGCACACAAGCTGTCCACCTTACACCACACATGTCTACATAGAATTATCAAAATTTTATGGCCAGATACAATCTCAAACACTAAACTACTTCAAGCCACAAACCAAGAAACTTTAGACAGTATGATTACCAAGAGAAGATGGAAATGGCTTGGCCACGTTATGAGAATGGCTTCTGATATACCTGCCAAAACAGCTCTCACATGGACACCAGAGGGAAAGAGAAAACAGGGGTGCCCAAAAACAACATGGAGACGAACGATGGAAAGTGACCTGAGTGCGGCATCTTTGACATGGAAAACTGCACTGAAGATTGCACAGGACAGGAAAGCATGGAAAGTCCTCTCTGAAGCCTCATGTGCTACTAGGCATAACGAGAACTGATGATGACTGAATAGAGACGATGCTGAATTGGCTAAAACAATGGCATGGAGGGATGTCATCAAGAAAGCTGTTCCAGGCAACCAGGGATCGTGATCTGTGCAGACACATGAGCGCCTGCGCAGTTGGCAGGGCACGTGATGATGATGTTGCAGGGCCTCTGATTTTTCTTGGGGAGAGGGTTGATGGAGAGGGAATAGACCTACTGACCCTTAACAAGCGTGTTGGAAAATGCACTAACTAGGGGTTTACTGGAACTGGATGTGTTCGACCGATAGGTACAGATGTGTCAGCCACCTCTCTACTAATGAACGCAGAAGAAGAAGAAGTAACAAATTTAGAAAATACCTGGTATGCAGTTTTTTAGACTTTATAAAGCCCAGGACTATATTGACAGGAGCAAATCCAGGCTGGCCACTGGCAGAGAGTAAACCCTGGTTTGCTGCACTGGTATACAAGTCTTGGCCAGATGGATCTAGAACACTGTAACTTACAAGGGAAAGTCAATAAGTAAGTCACAAACGGTTATGGGATGGCAGAAAAATGTAGTTGGTGGTTTCTAAAGGTATCAAAGGTGACAGCAACATTGAACTTTATGTCTCAGTTCGTTAGGTGGCACTAGGTGTTGCATGTGCATTCCCAACACAGAAACAGAATGGCGACTATACGTACGGAAGTACCCTCAAAGAACAACATGCTGATGTGTGTTGGGGGGGGGGGGGGGTAAAAAAAGGCTGCCTGCAAAGGACATTCATAAGGAAATGCTTCTTGTAGCTGAGTAAAAAAACAATTTCTCAAGGACGCTTTAAAATTGTTGATGAAGTCCAGTCTGGTCGTCCTGTTGTGTTTACAACAGACTGATCCATGCAGTGGGTGGAGGAGATGATTAGAGGTGACAGATGAGGAACGGTTGACTCTTTAGCAGCTGCAATAAAAAGAAGTGACAATGTGAATGCTGATTCATACTGTAAAATTCTATTGATGCTTCATGATGCAGTTTGTAGAAAATGTCCAGGCCTGCTGACTAAAGGAGTGCTACTCCTTTATAACAATGCCAAACCACATACTGCTTGGTTAACTCAGGAGAAAATTAACCATCTAGGGTGGGAACTTCTGGAAGATCCACTTTACAGCCCTGGCTTAGCCCCTAGCAATTTCACCTTTTTTGGTCCACCGAAAGCCCACCTTGGCGGGATACATTTCGCAAATGACGCAGCAATTGAATGTAAAGTGAAAATATGGTTTAGAAAACAGAGCACACAGTTGTATGTAGCAGGTTTGGGAAGCCTGAAAAAATGATGGGACAAGTGCATCAATGTTGGTGAAAATTAGGTTGAAAAACAAAGGGACAGTTTATGTGTAAAAATAAAACATTTCAAGTTGATATCGTCTTTAGTTTTTTTTTTAAACTGTTTGTGACTTACTTATTGACTTCCCTTCATGCAACTGTAGAGCTCTTCATCAAAGCCCAGGGCATATCCTTCACAACTGCCAAGATTTGATCTGGACTAAAATCTTATTTCTTTAATCAACAAATGCGCGCACGCACGCACGCACGCACGCGCGCGCGCACACACACACACACACACACACCCCACCCCCCCCCCCCCCCACCCCCCCCCCCCATGAAAGCTACTTCTTTATTCATTCAAGTCTAGTTTTGTACGTAATCTTGTTGTGCCTGTTTATAGCACATATATGATATTGGCACCTTTCAACCATTTATCAGGCTAACCTTCCTGGAAGAGAACTGTTGATGGGTGTGGTAGCTGAGCCTAGTGCATCAGAATCTCTACATCCGAGATAGAAGTATTCAATACAGTAGCACAGTATTTTCATCTTTCTACAGACCCTTCTGGTTTATCAGCATGTGAGCTGACAGATTACCATGTTCAAAAGCTGTGGGCCTTAGACAGTTCTATTTCAGGTAAGGGCTTGATTTTGGGGTTTTTAATAGTATAGTCTTAATGTCTTGGGTTTGGATCCACATCTGGTGGATTTGTATTAATCACCTGATTCTGCCAGGTTGATCCAGCCTATACTGTATGCCAGGTTGGTCCAGCCTATAATGTATGCCAGGTTGGTCCAGCCTATAATGTATGCCAGGTTGGTCCAGCCTATAATGTCTGCCAGGTTGGTCCAGCCTATAATGTCTGCCAGGTTGGTCCAGCCTATAATGTCTGCCAGGTTGGTCCAGCCTATAATGTCTGCCAAGTTGGTCCAGCATATAATGTATGCCAGGTTGGTCCAGCCTATAATGTATTCCAAGTTGGTCTAGCCTATAATGTCTGCCAGGTTGGTCCAGCCTATAATGTATGCCAGGTTGGTCCAGCCTATAATGTATGCCAGGTTGGTCCAGCCTATAATGTCTGCCAGGTTGGTCCAGCCTATAATGTATGCCAGGTTGGTCCAGACTATAATGTATGCCAGGTTGGTCCAGCCTATAATGTATGCCAGGTTGGTCCAGCCTATAATTTCTGCCAGGTTGGTCCAGCCTATAATGTATGCCAGGTTGGTCCAGCCTATAATATATGCCAGGTTGGTCCAGCCTATAATGTATGCCAGGTTGGTCCAGCCTATAATGTATGCCAGGTTGGTCCAGCCTATAATGTATGCCAGGTTGGTCCAGCCTATAATGTATGCCAGGTTGGTCCAGCCTATAATGTCTGCCAGGTTGGTCCAGCCTATAATGTCTGCCAGGTTGGTCCAGCCTATAATGTATGCCAGGTTGGTCCAGCCTATAATTTCTGCCAGGTTGGTCCAGCCTATAATGTCTGCCAGGTTGGTCCAGCCTATAATGTCTGCCAGGTTGGTCCAGCCTATAATGTCTGCCAGGTTGGTCCAGCCTATAATGTCTGCCAGGTTGGTCCAGCCTATAATGTCTGCCAGGTTGGTCCAGCCTATAATGTCTGCCAGGTTGGTCCAGCCTATAATGTATGCCAAGTTGGTCCAGCCTATAATTTCTGCCAGGTTGGTCCAGCCTATAATGTCTGCCAGTTTGGTCCAGCCTATAATGTCTGCCAGGTTGGTCCAGCCTATAATGTCTGCCAGGTTGGTCCAGCCTATAATGTCTGCCAGGTTGGTCCAGCCTATAATGTCTGCCAGGTTGGTCCAGCCTATAATGTCTGCCAGGTTGGTCCAGCCTATAATGTCTGCCAGGTTGGTCCAGCCTATAATGTCTGCCAGGTTGGTCCAGCCTATAATGTCTGCCAGGTTGGTCCAGCCTATAATGTCTGCCAGGTTGGTCCAGCCTATAATGTCTGCCAGGTTGGTCCAGCCTATAATGTCTGCCAGGTTGGTCCAGCCTATAATGTCTGCCAGGTTGGTCCAGCCTATAATGTCTGCC